AGGACGTCTCTGAGCCCAATGTGGAGAATCAGAAAAGCAGAAGAAGGTCTGACTGGCCTCAGGAAAGAGAATGGGGAAACCTGTGGAGCTTAAAGAGAGGCTGAGACTTGGCAGGGTTGAGGACGGGGGAAGATCCCTGGCAGTGTTCAAGGCCAGGTTGGATGGGGCTTTGGGCAACCTGGGCTAGTGGAGGGTGTCCCTGCCCATGGCAGGGGTGGGACTGGGTGGGCTGTGAGGTCCCTCCCAACCCAAACCAGGCTGGGATTCTCTGATCTGTGATCAGCTCCCAAATACAAGCTGCAGATGCACAAGAGGGGAGGAGCCGATTGCTGCTGCCATGTTCCCGCAGAGGAGTATCTCCCCGAGAAGCTGGACAGCACAGCGCTAGACGGCCATCGGAGCAGGAACGGTTCATGGGGTGCTGGTGCAGAAAGAACCGTGGGCCACAAAAAGGGCGATTGCTGGGAAAGAACAGCTACAGGCAGTGGAAGAGGGAGGGTTGCCAGTCTGGGTTGCCACGAGGTTCTTACAAAGTAAATGAAGTGTGTGAGTGCTTAACGTGCTGGCATCGTACCTGTACGCAAAGTCTTACGAACAACAGCAGAGGAACTAAAGAAATACGTTCGCAGGGAACGTTTTCCACAAGGGGAAACGTAGGCTATCACCGGCCGACAAAGATCACTTTTCACTTGCCGTGGCAGAGAGCGCAGCGTGTTTGTGTGCGTTTCTGTCACGTGCTCTGGGCTTTATCTCGGGATTTACGCCGAGCAAACAAAATGGTAAATTTTACTCAGAGGATGTGAAAGCAAATGAACATCTGTTGACAAAGCTTGCTACGGGAGAAGAGGAAAGGCTGGGGCTGTCGCCAACCTGCGTGTTCCAGGGTACAGGGGGGATTACAAAGCCCCTTAGGGATGGAGAGGGACGTGCAAGCCGCGTCCGGCTGGCAAAGCAGACGTGTCAAGGGGAGTTAGTATCATCTCATGCTGAGATGCTGTGACGGGATGTGGTATATATATCTGATATATTTCAACACTAGGAGCCCAGCAAAAACAAATCGGGTAAGTTTTGTCCTGTGATTTGTGGCATGTGTCTACTTGCACAAAGTGTCCTTAAAACACTGCTATTTGGTAAATATGCCTTTTGGAAAAGGAAGGTGTTTATATGCATCCGATTATTTTTTAACATATCTGGGAAAGAACTGATTGCTGTTGATGAGAATATTTCTCAAAGCTGCAACCTCCGGATCTAGATGATCCAAATATGAGACGGGGAGGTGAGTGAGGCAGGACAGGACAGGATGGCCCGTTTTGGTGACACCACGGTGACCACGCGGCTGGCCTGAGGTGTGGAGGGCTCCCTGGGACCAAACTTTGGCACATCCATACTTTAAAGTAGTTTTGTTTGGGGGCAAGGTGAATGCAGCAGCAATATGAGGGTGAGGATGCTGCAGACTCAGAGCAGGACCCAGTCAGAAGTAAGCGTAGGACTGAGGAGGGCAGAGCTGAACCCCCAAAATGGGCATTCTTACCCCCCGACTGGCTTTGAGGAGGATTGCCCAGCAGCCTGTGCAATGGCTCTGGGACCCCGTGCTTGAAAGAAAGGGGTTGGCAAGAGGTTCTGGACGTGTATGGCTTGGAAGAGGCAAGAGAGATCCCCTGCTCGTGGACATCTGAGGCATGACCTGGTACGCTGTGGAAAGCCCGTCTAGCACGCAGGATGCTTGTGAAGCTGTAAAGCCCACCTCAGCCGCGGGGTGTCCTGCATCCCTCCCACGTGCTGCTCCCTCCCTCCTCACCCACAACAGCCTCTCCTGGCCAGACTGGCTGGTAGCTCCTGCTTTATGGGACCAGGTTTCCCAAGGTCAGCTGAGTTTGCCTGAAAATCCAAGTGATTTTTGCCCTTTGGTAATGAGGGCTGGCTCCCAGCCAGGATCTCTGTCCTAGAGTTCAAAGAGCTGGAGAGGTTTGTGCAAGCCCTGAGTGGGTGGGGTGGCTGTGGAACACGCTATAAAGAAGCATTAGGGAGCTGAACAAACAATGCAAGTTGGAGCAGAGGAAGAAGAAGCGATATGGGAGAACTTCACATCCGCTCCGTTCTGGTGACTGGGGCCAACCGGGGAATCGGCCTGGGGCTCGTCCAGCATTTCCTGGGGATGCCGAACCCACCCAAGTGGGTGTTTGCGGCTTGTCGGGACCC